ATTAAAAAAATAAGCTTCAATTTATCAGACATTCAATCAGTTTTAATCTATCATTTCAAGCCTAGTATGGTCAGTTTTAAATTTTAATGGACTTCAGCTTATTGAGTATAACCGTCGTCATGTTTATATCAACTCTAAATATCATTTATTTTAATAAGCTTTAGACATTTGCTTCTAGAATTAATTATTGGAAACTGACTTCCCAAGTTCGGCATTTCGAGCATCATGACATGGCCAATTTTAAATTCTATTAGAAACTAACATCAGCTGAGTTTAACTGTAATCAATATTAAATTAACTCATATACTATTTTCTTTTTCAGCTTTAGTATTGGTCCTTTGGCGATTTTTTTGATTCGGCGACAAACTTCTGTCGCCAAGGTAGACCCGGGTTTTAAAATTGGAAACAAATGGCGGATTGTAAACAAAACCCGATCTAGATTAAATAACAATCCTAAAAAATAGGTTCTTGATTAGAATAAAAAGTCTTTCTCCAATTTTCAACAAATTGCAAAAAACAGTTTTCTCTAATTTAAACATTTCTAGTACTGCTGTGATAAATTCTTGAAACATTGCCGTAAATAAATTTGTGGCAGTGATTATGATACGAGTAATTAAATTTACAAAAGTTAATATTTTAAATTACAAAATATAATATTAAAGTATTAAATATTAATATTTTAAGTTGTTAGTTAATGTTTATATTATATTATATTAGTATTTAGCTAATATTTTTAATGTACAAAAGGTTAATTTTTGTTATGAATAATGAAATTTACAAAAGGTTAATAAGTGCACTTCAAACTAGTATATGTTGCTTTAGTTTCTTAGATTCTGTTATTAAAAGGAAATAAAAAATATTTCAAATTGAAGGAAAACAAATTCAATTATAACAAGTAAATTTTGTAGCAGTGGTTAGAAATACTTTTTATGAATTAAATTTTGTAAATGGTAAAAATATTAAGAAGTGTGTATTTTTTAATCGCTCAATTAATTACAAGTAATTTGTGATTATAATTTAAAAGCTAAAATTAAATTATCATAATGAGTAAATTTTGTACCAATGGTAATAATACATAACAACAATTATCTTAACTGATGATTTCTGTGAAAGATTCATACATTCGTTGGAAGCCACTAGTTGTGGAGTGATAAGCCACTAAACACTGGTAGTTCGTTTTCAATATATGGGAGCTTTTGTGGTTTTCCTTGCATGTAATGTGAATTTGAGCCAGCTTCTCTTAAAAAGTCCTTATGAAGGCATCCTTCTTCTACTAGCCTGAGTGTATACTTATTTTCTATTCAGAAATACTATTCTCTCTTCTTAATTCTAAATCTTATTTCTGAAGTGAAGATGTGTTGCAGCTATAGGTCGAAAAATATGGTCAATATGTTTGCAAAATCCTGTTCAGTTTTGGACAGCATTTAAATAAAATATATAATTTGTATGTGATGCAAACAAAAATGCATTACACTATTTCATATAGTGAATAATTAATCAAGGAACAAAGTATAATGTAACTTTCCTTTACATTGTACCCAGAGTTATTTCATGTTTGGGATCTTTACTATTGATTTCCCCATCCGTTTTCCCACCAGAATCCAAATGAAGTTTTTAGTTTGTAAAACAAATAGTGTTTTGCCTTTCAAGGCCACGTTACTAGGTTGCTAGATAAGACAAGTTTTGTAGTCTTCAATCTTGCATTACAATTGCTTATAGTTGAATTCCATGCCGGTTAAGTTTTGAACCAACTTTGCATTAAACTGATTTGAGTAGCTTTTGGCTACAAGTTTATTTTAATTTAAATTTTACATTTGAACTTAATTGTTATCATAAATTATCTTGCCACAAGTAGTTGACCAAGTCATAAGCACAAAGTGTGTCTTCTGTTCTGTACATCTAAACTTTATAAAAGAATAATAGTATATCTTAACTTAATAAGAACATATCTAAACTTTATAATAATTGCATTTTAAGACATTGAAATCAGTATCTAAGTGCTTGCCATATAGTGAAATTTTTATATATAAATTGTACTCTTACTTTTATTGCAAAAAATTCAGATGTCTGTTAGATTAAATGGGTTGGATCCTAGCAGAGCCCACACCCTTGACGTGCCCGTGTACATGGACAAAGTCAAGGGAGCGTGCAATGCCAAGTTTGTGCAATTCTAGGATTTTTTTTTAAGTGAAAATAGGTCGATGTGTACATGAATACCGAGTTTGTGCAATTCTTTGACTTATTTTTAAGTTGGCAATTTTGAAAAATGTGCGAAGCAGTGAGTGATTCTCCACTTTCAAAGTTTGTCGCTATGGGTGTAGGCTCTCCTAAGATTTTACTAATTAAATGTTTAAGTAATATAGAAAATTTGCATCAAATTTAAAATAAAAAGTCAATTGTTATGTCAACATACTATTAATAAAAAGTAATAATACTAAGTGAAGGTTATTCATATACAGCTATTAGATTGTGAGATTTATAAAATTTGAGAACTGTAAATTATAAGCAATATACAGTCAAACGTCGTTAATCCGGACTCGTCTGGACTTCGGCGATTCCGGATTATAGATCATCAGTTTAAATCTGGTAGGATGGCATGCAGAAATTACAAAATTAAAAATATGAAACTGTAATTTATGAAACAAAGAACAATTATGATCTAAAGGGTATCAAAATTTACAAAAAGAGAAAAAGCTTAATATTTATTTGTTTACTTTATTAAACATTTCTTTCAATGTAAGTTGTTTAAGTTGCTTCGTTTCATGCGATAATACTTTCTCTTTAATTCAATTAAACAAACATAATTTCTTGTTTAGTTACAAAGTTCCGCTGTTCAAGTCCTATAATTGCTGTGTCGAGAATACCGACTAATTTGTCAATCTAAATTTTTTCGTTTTCAATAACCTCTGTCACTTTCTTCATTATCAGAAACGAATTATAATGACGAGGAACTTGTTTTAAATCATATCAAAGACGGAGTACATCGAGATGAAATACTACATTTAGTAAGGAATTATAAGCCAAATAAAAATAAAAACATCTGCCCTGAAGATAAGGGTAGTGCTGACAGATCAACTTCAAATTCATTGCACGCCGCAGCGTTCCCCTCCGCCGAGCAGCATGAAATTAATAAACAGATTTCTGATTTCGAAACATACTTTCGCTTTAGATCCTTTACATATGAGCAAATATATATCGGAAATTCTATTTGATATAATCGAAAGTTCAAGCTTACTTTTATAAAATTGCTCTAACAGTCTGCAAAAAATAATAAGCCGGATCCAATTCGAAGATTAAGGAACAACACAATCTGCAACATTAACTGAATGAGATAATTTTAGCTTAGTTTATACTGTTCGTTACACATTAAACGCGCATACGTCAACGTTTTATGCACACGCGCACACTTGCAGCCGTAAAGGTCTTACGCACACACACATAAACGTCTATGCGCGCGACACATGCGCAGAATGTTTGTAGCTTTGAGGTCGGATTATAGATCATTCCGGATTATGGGTGCCCGAATTAACGACTTTTGACTGTATTCCATAATCTAAGCAAAATTATGTTTTTTATAGTCAAATTATAAAAATGTTATAAAAGCAATAACGAAGCCCGGTTTTGGTCTATGAATTCATGCAAATATACATCCCTATAGTTCTAATTTAAGAAATGAGGCAGAAAAGTATTTTAAGATAATGGTAATTTTGATCATTGTCCATTTTAAGAAACATGTAAGAAGTCTAAATTTGCATGTGGTTCCTTAGCAAAGGAATCACCAAGAGTTTACCTCATGCTACTAAAAATGTGTTTTTTTTTCCCTTGGAGGGGTGGAGTTTATAATATGCAGAGTGGACATATGAAAAAATGTCAAGACTTATGTGATGTACTATTAAAAGCATCAGTTTTAACTATCAAATTTTAGCTTTTTTAAAAATATTTTAAAAGTTGTGCTTTTCTAACATGGAAGAAACTTCAAGAAAAACATACAATTTATCCCTATTGCCATGAAAGCTCTGCTGATACCTACCATTTCTGTCCATATACCTAAGTTATATGGACAGAAATGGCGGCATGTTTTTCATGTCAGTATTTAGGGTTACCATAATCACTTAGGTTATCATAATTTTTCATTTATCGCTCCCAAATATTTCTTCCCAAAAAGGACTAATACTAAAGCTGTGCCGACAACTTTAATTAGTAAAATGTTTTTTCATAATAAACTAAAGCGCAAAACAAATAAGTGAGCGATTCTGCACTTTACTCCTATTTCTCATGTTTCGAATTCACTCGTTTATTAAGCAAAACGTTAGGTACCAAAAACGCCAAACTCCGCCAATTTGGCGATAATCATACACTGAATATCCGCATAAGAACCTAAAATGCACGTTCAAATTTTAAAAATGTTACATACTTAATTCAAGAAATTTACGTCAAGGTATAAGTTTGATGGGTCAATAAAAGCATGCATGCTTCAAAAAGTGAGTCTTCACCTGTGGACTATATAAGTTTACGCAAACGATCTTCTGAGAGATGGTAACGATTAGTGTTTAATAACCAATTACAAAACACAAAAAATTAGCTTCATATAAAGACTTAGTGCAATATCTAAGAGCAACGAATATTATATAATATGCACTACATAGCAAAAAATATTTTCCAGAATAGCTATTTAATTCCACTTTAATTTCCAACAATACAACTGACACGTTTTCATGCAAAGCACCTTTTTGGAGGGAAGCAGTGGGTAATGTTTATAATTCATTTTAAATACTACTCGTTACTTATTCCAAAAGTCGTAAGATAACATAATAATGAACTATTCATCAGTGGCTTCTACAGTGTAAACATTTAAACCACACCACTTATATGTATTAGTGGTGCAAAATACAATACACTAGCGTGAATATAATGATACAGATTTATACAGCATTAAAATCAAGTTTTAGTACTTAGTACTTATCACTCAGTATAAATATCAAAAGATTGTAAACACAAACCTGAGCGCCATTTGCAACCATCTTATCTAGCTTCTTAGCAATTTTAAAAACTTCCTCTTCACAGCCCATTTTGAGCAGAAAAATTTAACGTATTCCGTATGTTTCAAAATCAAAAGCAAGAATTTAATACGACAACAAGATAATAGAATAAATAATAAATTAATTCTAGGAAATCTTGCCGACAAAACACTAGCCACGCGGACGTACACCACTATACAGAGTCAAACATTACTGTTTACAGTCTCCTCGCGTTCCCCCCTCCTTTCTGGAAGTGAACGATCTCACTCTTCTTCTTCTTCCATCGGTATTAAAAAATTAACAAATTATAAGACGACCAAAAACATTTAAATTCGAAAAACTTACTTTTGGACCATTTATTTTTAATTTTATTTTGTTCCATCTTTTCTTACTGACCTTTCGAACTTGTATAAAATATACGAAGTTCCTTTTTACTCTCTTCTTAAATACGAAATTGTCCCTCTTTCTATATACCTTTCATTCGCATCTAAGCTTGATTTTTCGCCCATCGGTGCAGAAAAACTTAGCGGGTGCAACACAAGACATCTGCCCAAGGTTAGAATAGATTCTAACCTCCTTGGTTAGAATAGAAGGAGGGAGGGTTCTCGGTTTCCTCCACTATCGGGGAATGAAACTCCGCCGAACAAGCGGCGTCCATGTTTGTGACTTCAAAGCATTGCATTACGGCAGTGAGATGTACGTGTTTCTAACCTGTTCCGTACATTTATTTTCCAGTAAAAATATGTTAAATTTATAATGAAATCCCTCGCTATTGTTGAATTTTTGTTTTAAAGTAATAAAGATGATATCCATAATTTACTATGTACAGCAAATTATTAAGAAATAGTTCGAAATCTAAATGCATGCGCATAACATTAAAGCCTTTAAAAATGATGTTTTCTGCATATTTCACGGACTTGCGTAGGTTTAGAAATAAATCTTAATAAAATAAAACAGATTTATGTGAATTCATTGATTTCAGTTTATGCGCATTTCATATTTATTAATCTCAAAAGAAATTGCCTTGAATTAAGCTGAATTACAGAAATACACCTATATAAATTTTTGGATACATCTTTCCGCATGTTCATTTGTGTAAATATTTTACTTACTTTTATCGCTGTACTGTCCCAGAAATTTGTAAGTTTATGCAAAACAATTTTAACAATAGAACAGTTTATCTTGATCAAATGCACAAATTATATTCGTAACGAGTTCACGAAACTTTAATAATGAACAATAATTCATACATAAAGAAAAGCATTGCTTTATTTAACACCTTCACAATTCATAAAAATAGCAACAATTGATTTCTTTCTTTTCATGAACAGTTATAAAACGAATTAACCTGAAAGCGTTCAAATTATACAGTTTAAGTCCTAGCATATAGCATTGTATCTTAAGGAACGAAGATACCAGCTATAAACAGGAACATTAAAATGTATTTAATATATTTTGATTATAGTTATTTAAATAACCTATTTGTCCTTCTTTTTCACATCTGGAAAGAAAAACCACATGACATTGTGATTTTTGGACATAGTTGTCATATTACATAAAAAAAGAAAATTAATACTTACGTGTGAAAAATAATGCCCGGAATTTTTTTCGAGAATCTATTTGTGCATCCATATGCAATACAAGCTGACATGCTTCAAAAAGAAAAGAAAAAAATGTTGCAATGACAGACTTCCTTGCACAAGTCACGGTGATAACAGGAAGATGGCCGCCAAGCTTCACCGTTTGAGTTGAACCTTCCCTCCTTCTATTCTAACCTCCTTGCATCTGCCTGATTTGTCTGTCTGTCGAAAAACTTCTTTTACAGTCGTCCAATTTAAGTAGTTAACCCGGCAGAAGGCGCGCACCCAACACTGACGTTAGAGATCGCGCGGGGTGACTGCGTCACCCCAATCAGTTTCATTAGGAAAATGTGCTATATATTCTATAGAAACCATTTGATTATAAACAATAATTGCAATATTTCATTTAGAAACTAGAATTCTTTACTTGAAAGAACTTATTTCAATATTTAAGAAAAAATTCCATTCAAAATAAGTATATACCTAATCAGGGATCAGAAGCTAACATACACTTCTGGCAAAATAGGAAGAATGAATTTTACATGAAAAATTATCACATATTTTACAAGAAATTGTATTTTTATTGTCTTTGGATCTTGGACACATAAGACGTAGGCCCTTGTCGAGTTTTGGTTTCTTTGCTGTGGGTTCATCATCAGGTCGCATTATTGATGCTTTCACGAAACACTTTAGGAAGCATTGACATATTTTTTGTTATCTCTATGTGAGGCGCTGTATAAAAGATATAGACAAATGTTTTAGAAATTTTCTACTATTTCGATATTGTGAGGGAGGGGTCTCTGCTGAGAATAAGGCAACTCGGGTATTTATTGCAGTGACGTTCAACACAGTAAAAAACGACCATAGGCCATTTGTTGGTTTTTCGAGCTGTCGAATATAATGATAACATTTCATCAACTTTATCTACACCACCTTTTGTTGCATTATGAAAGTAAATTATGTCTGGTTTCTTCGTATCATCAGTTTCATCAATGGCATCATCGCAATGCGTTGTAGATAAAAAAACTACACATTTTGATTTTTAGGCACATACGATACTAGAGTCGCATTCTTTTAGAACCGAAATATAGAACAATAACCGTTCCTAGTTTTTGTTTGGACGAACTTGGTGGGAATTTCTGCCTTGTTTCTGTTCAGGGTTCCTGCAATAGCTAACTTCTTTGATAAAAGTCCTTTTGCTAAAGAATAACTCGTATACCAATTAACCATTGTTACATTTCTGCCCAAACGAAGGGGTGCACAGACGTTTTGTAATTTCAAATGGTGAATTTTCAAATCTAAAGGGACCTTTTGGTTGTTGTCCTGCGTATATCTTCATGTTATAGCTGCAGAAAGTTCTTGAATCTACTAAAGCAAATATTTTGATTCCATATTTCGATGGGTTGCTGGGTATATACTGACGAAAGAAACACCGCCCTCGAAATTTCTCTAATTTTTCTTTGATAATAACGTATTTACAAAAAAGGTATATCTTTTGGAAATTTTCATTTAAATCGGTAAAAAATTCTCTCGCAGCCGCCAATTTGTCCAATTTTTTCCCAGCTTCACGATTGGTCACATTGTCTAACCGTAGACACCTGAGAAGAAAGTTAAATCTTTTATATGACACTGTGTTCCGTAAAATTTCAATGCCTTATCCATCAGTGGCCCACAAATCTTGCGTATTTTTATGTGACGATTTATGCAAGCCGTACAGATGTAAAAGCACAAAAAGTGCTCTAATTTCCACATCATTTGTCGTTTTGGCATCCCGATCTTTGGTGTATTTTACCGATATTTTTTCAATATAAATATTTGTAGACTCTACAATGGATCGTATCATTTTAGCTTTGAAAAACAATTTCCAACTTTCTAGAGGCTCCGTTATATTGCATGCAGTTCCTTTAATCCTGGTAAATGAGTTATTATAATATGAGAAGACGTTTTCATTTTTTGATTTGATTTTTCTTTCTACCAAACTCTTATTTTTTCTAATAACAATACTTTTACTAAATCAGGATTTCCATCGTCTTCATCATTCTGTACAAATTCACTTTCGCAGTCGTGAGAACTGTATATTTCTTCATCAGATTCATTTTCACTATCTTGATCAATTTCTCCTGCAGAAGACTCAACTCCTCTAATAGAGTTCTCAAACGTTCCATCTCTTTTTCATATTCGGTAAATTTATGTTTATAAGCCATTATCTATCAAATAATCCAAGAGAACAACAACGACAACACTTGAGAGCGCTAAGCTAAACTGCTACTAATGAAAAATTTCGAAGCAGTAACGGTCGCACGGGTGTCTGAGTCACCCTATTCCTTCATGGATTCCAAGAAACGATTGCTTCTTTCCCAGAAAAGGAAAACAAGCAAAAATAACAATACACATTCCAAAGGGAGTGTCAAACAGGAGGATACTAGAAGGATGATTCATTAAAATGAAATTTTTCTGGTTAGGATTGTTGATTTTTGACGCATGGGGTGACTCTGTGTCCCGCGCGACTTCTCCCGGGTTAAAAAAATCTTCCCATTGTAAGTATTAAGCCAAAAGTTAATATTTCTAATGTTAGTTTATCAGAAGAACAAGAGAGAAATCTGAAATATTTTAACTTCTCACAAACCTCAAAACCCTCAATTCCATAAATTTTGGCTCTTATCGAAAAAGCTTTCAAACTCAGTAAAATTTCAGACACACAGAAAGAAAAGATTAGGCATCTTATGGTTCATAATGTAAATTCAACAATAAGCATTTGAAACCAAATCTAAACGCAAGAGAAAGAGCTACAATGTGCGAAATTCATTCCAACCGGACATTATCATTTCGAAGGCCGAGAATGTGTTCGAAACGCTTAAAGGAAGGAGCATATAATCCAATTCTTCAAGATCCTTCACCTTCGGACCTGTCAAAAATAAAACCTGCAATCAAATCTTCACAAATTCATTCAAGCAACTTAAAACAATCGCTTATCCCATCTGTTGCGAATTGTGAGAAGTTATATGCTCTTCCTAAAATTCATAAAAGTAATATTCTTTTCCACCCTATTGTACCAAATTTAGGCGCCGCCACATACCCGTTAGCTAAATATTTAAATTCTAGATTTTCAACTCTATTAGATAATAACATTTACTCTATAAAAATTTAATAGGGTTTGTAGAAAAAGTTAAAAGCATGTCTAGAAATTTACTCATGTTTTTTTTTTGACCTGACATCATTATTCATCAATATTTTTTGTGGAAGGTGCATTAAGATGTCTAGAAACCAGACTTCGTGAATTTCATTTTTCTTGCATCGAAATTAATGAGCTAACTTACCTCATTCAACGCTGTTTGAAAGAAACGCATTCTGTTTTCCAAAATAAGTATTACAAGCAAACTGCGGGATTAGCCATGGGAAGCCCCCTCAGTCCCATCCTGGCTGATATTTACATGCATTATTATGAATCAAAATTATTTGAAACTTTCAACTTCCCGGTATGTTGTAACTACGTAGACGATACTTTTATAATATTTGAAGGTAATAAAGATGACTTAAATAAAGTTCTTTTAACAATGAATTCCATTGATCGTGCTATACATTTCACTTTTGAACTTGAGAAAGGCAATTCTCTTCAATTCCTCGACATTCTGGTCACACGTA